CTTCACCACATTCGCACAATCAGGTGAGCCCCCTGCAGCCTTTCCAGACACATTATAAAGACTTATAAATATACTATGAAATCCCATGAAGTGCAGAAAGCTTCAGTAGAATTTGGTTTTATGTATTTGCTCTGAGGTTACCTTGGCACTGAAGCAGCACACAACACAAAGAAGAGACTGCAAATTTTACATGAGCACAAAGTTCGCATCAAATTTGAAATTCAAATCATTTGTATTTTACTAAGATATGTGGGACTGATTTGTCTAACTTATCCTGACCGGAGTCTCCTCTGCTCTCCATTTTGAGTCACTGACTGGTTGTAGTCATAATGTTTATTTGACTTAAGTTCCTTCAACAGCAAAAGCTGAACACTTGTTTTCTATTCAACTTTATTCATATACAGCAGTTTTCTCTTCAGTTTTTGAAGCACTTTAATCCTTGCTGTTTAAAAGTTGAGGAAATGGTGAGCAAAAGATAATCTCTACTATAACAACACCCAACTTGAGGACAGATTGTGTTACCAAACTAAACCCTCCACTTTGACAAAGTTGTTTAACTGAGTTGCCCTGTGAGTTTTACAAACTGCTTACTGTTTCAAACATATCAGCGTATTATCAAGATCTGCTGTAAGATGCATTATGACTGCAGCATTTATTTAGATGATGATGTGACACTCATCAGTCATGCTGACTGTCTAGTGTGATGGTTTCTTATTGCCTCTCCTTTCATGATGCTCCAGTGTCTCCTCAGCTCTGATTATTGAAAAAATCCTGAGAAAAATTAAATATTTGATCTCGATTCTGTGTTTAATTTGTTCCTCATTCCTACATTTTGTGACTCAGAGCTAGGGAAAAACAGAATGAATGAACTCAAACAAAACCAGCCGAGGACCAGATGGCATGTTGTGTTTGCTAAATAACAGAATGACATGGGATAAAATTTCCGCCCTAAGCTGTAAAAACAATATTATACCAGCATCAAGTCTACCTGCTAAAAAGGACAATCCACCTTTGACTTATGACGTTACATATACTGTTGAGCTTTCACCTGGTCCGTTTCCAGCTTCTCCCTCTGTGGTCTGAGCCACTCAGAGTCTGTGTTTAGGGTGGGAGCTCCAGTTTATCCTTCTGACAGATACAAACACACTCACATCCCACTAAGTAGCATCTTCTACTCCTTCTACTAAATTTGTTCTAAAGGCAAATTACATACATACACAACAGTGGCTGAGGTTACCACGACTCTGAGGCAAAAGCAAAGAAGGTGTGTTTTTCCTGATTTTCCTATGTTTTCTCTAAAGGATATCCCAAGTTTTCAAAAATGCAGGACACTAAGAACGGTCTGTTTACTACAAGTCAAACATGTTAATTTTATATAAGCCAAGGCAATAAAGCATGCAGCATGGACTGTCAGCTGTAAACCTCTTCTGTAATTATTTCGGATTGTTTTTGATGTTTAAATTATCAGAATAACAAAACAACATAACAAAAGTTGAAAGTATTAACAGAAGTCAATTTAAATAATAAATAGATCAAGATTTTTTCCCCCGTAACACTGCCAGAGCACTACTTTCAAACACATTACTGTCAGTTAAGGGAAAATATTTTTTTGAACTTGTGGCAGGGGTGTGGCCTCTGGACGGCTGCAGTGGAGAGGTGGTGCAGGGAGCTCATGGGGCAATGTCAGCAGAGGGGGACAGGTATTTATGTTCAATTCAATTTATTTATACTACTATACAAATCACAACAGCCTTTGCCTTATATTGTAAGGTAGACCAAATAATACATACAAAGAACAACCCAACAATCATATGACCCCATATAACAAGCACTTTGGTGACAGTGGGAAGGAAAAAAACAAAAACAAAACAAAACCCACTATCTTTTAACAGGAAGAAACCTCCATCAGAACCAGGCTCAGGGAGGGGTGGCCATCTGCTACGACCGGTTGGGGTGAGAAGGAAGACAGGATAAAGACATGCTGTGGAAGAGAGACAGAGATTAATAACAAGTATGATTCAATGCAGAGGTCTATTAACACATAGTGAGTGAGAAAGGTGACTGAAGAAAAAATACTTAATGCTTCATGAGAATCCCTCAGCAGCCTACACCTATTGCAGCATAACTAAGTAACTAAGCGTTACTCTGAGACAGGATATTTCTCATTTTAGAGATATTGTGCAAATGTCAAAAATGACTCCAAGGTTCCTCAAAGTGTTACTGGAGACTTCATACTGTAACATAAAAATGCTACAGTATGAATTGAACATGGATGCTGCAGAATGTAATATGCTGAACTGATTTTAAAGTGTAAAGTAATGCGATTCTGTAGACCTTTACTTTTTTCAGGGATGAACGCAGGTGATGACTTATAACACCACCTATTATTCACGGTCAGTGCAGTCTTGAGATCCCTACTTGGGTGTTTCAACCTCCACTCACCCCTTACCTCATGTGTCTTCAACAACTCATGTAGGGTGGGACAATGTCTTAATAAGGTTTTACATCTTGTTCTCAGTGACGTTTTCCATACCTTGGTTCATGGGATGACTCACATAATCAAAAGTGGGCAAGCGACTCTCATGACCACCTCCAAGAGGAAAGCCTCCAATAGCTTTTTTTTTTACATTTTTTTTAAACCATCTGGAATTCTCTAGCAATTACTGTAAAATTGAAGAAGCCTCTTGGATAAGGGTCTATGTTATCATTAAAAACCCAAAACTAGTCCAGTTTTCTTCTTTTCGATCTCTCATGGATATATTAAAAAGAAATAACTCATTTTATTTCACAAGCTACGTTGGAGTTCTCTTACTTCTATAAAGATCGTTCTAGAATTCTCCACTCTTGTTCATGTCTGGGCCCTGTAATGGGCAAAGACATTTAAGGACATTTGCAGAGTGGCCCTGGCAGAGTGACATGGCAGAATCAGCTGTGATCTCTTGTGGGAAAATGTTCCAAGCATCTTGCCCGGGATGATGATTTATCCAGTCAGGCAGAAGAGGGGGGTTGTTCAAAGCCAATAAACCGCTCAGCCAGCGGCACTTCGAGAGGAGGTTATTCAAGCTAGCATCATGAATTTCACCTTCCTGTTCGTGGAACCCCTGCCATTGAGAAATTATTCAAGTTTAAATGGCAAACATTTAATTCAAAAAAGAGCTGTTGTGTTTAAGTTACAGTTTCTTATTAAACAAACAATTTAATAACCTGTGTTTGCTTTCATGTCCCACAAATGCACAGTGTAGTGTATTTACAATGTGTGCAATGCCCAACAAACCTGAGCAGCAGTGTCTATGAAACTGTAGTAAAAAGCAAGCTGAAGGTTGTGAAGGGTTAGCTTTGTGTATTCTTGAACCTGAAACAAATAATGAAACCTGTCATTGATCTTTATCACACAAGCTTCAGTGATCATGTTTAACACATCCCAAACACATCAATACCTTCTGAGATGCTTGAGCGTGGTCTGCATTTAGGTTAAATGCAAACTCTATCAATTTCTTCTTCTGTTCCATATCCCCTGCCCCACACTGAAAGCTGCGCTATAATCAGCAGAGGGAATAAAAATATTTTTTAGAAGAATAAAGTTCATACTACACTATAATCTCACTCTAATGCCCCACCTGAATCCAGGCTTTGATTCTCTCAGGGGTGCTGTGAGCTTTCTGCTGATAAGGCTTGATTTTAGCCCATTCCTTCCTCAGCTCTTTATACATCTCTTTCAGTCTGGTTTCATTCACTGGGTTGTTCATGTTTTCAGAGTTCCCGGCCTGTAGTGCAATGTCAACCTCTCCTGCCACTCTGGTAATAGTAATAGATAATGTTGAAATTGTAAAAAAAAAAAAAAAAAAAAAAAGAAACAGATGGTGTTAAATCCACGTTTCAGTACATTACCTGTCTTTGAATGATTTCAATTCTTCTTCAGTTTCTTTATGTGCAGATCTGTGGAATAGTGTTTGGTACAAATAAGTGATTTGTTTCTGTTTACATTAGGATTAGGATTGGATATATAAATAATAATAATAATGGATTGCATTTATATAGCGCTTTTTGGGACCCCTCAAAGCGCTTTATAATGCCACTATTCATTCACTCTCACATTCACACACTGGTG